TCCAACATTGGTTTCTCTTATGTACTTACGTTCTTAAGGCGACCTCTGGTGACTGACCCCTACTGGGAGCCCTGAGGATATTCAGAGAGGTGGCTGAATAAAGCCTGCTCCCAACTGTTGATATTCCAAGGAGGTCTCCCATCCAAGTACTTGCCAGAGTCGACCCTGCTTAGCTTCCGAGATCTGACGAGATCGGGCTTGCCTGGCCGATCCAGGTCAGGGCCAAAAATTAATTTTAAGCCGCATTTACTGGTCTCTGAAATGTCTCTTGCCTTAAAAACAGGTCTAGCTCCACCACCTAGTGGTGCATAACGCTAAAAGAGCTAGAACTTCTGGCTGCCAGACAATCTTAGGATCTCCTGGCTATACCACACATACTGCCACATGATGACGATAATTCCGGAAGCCTGCATGGAATTTCCTCACATCAGGGATGGATTGGCCATATAACTTACAGGAGAAGTTCCCGGTGGGTCACTGCTGCAGGATGCCCCCTGGTGGCCAGGAGCAAGTAGAACCGAGCCCCAGCCATTCTGCCTCAGCCGCCGATTGGTCCAGACCCCTCACGGGTAGCACTGCCAAGCTACTGCTTCAAGTAGTAGGGGAACTGGGGGAACCCAGAAGTGACAGTGGGTAGCTCTAGGAATTGCCAGAAATGCTATGGTTTTACCATAGAGATTCCAGTGATTCCTAGAGCTCCCTGCCGTCACTTCCAGGTTTCCTCTGGAAATGACATCATCACACCAGCAGGTCCTCCCCGCCACATCTCCATCCCAAACCCTCCCGCAGGTAGCCTGGCTCGGCCCACTGACCAAGGAGACGCTCAGCTTGACTCGCTCCATGGTCGTTTTCACTTCCCGGTCTGCTCCTGACCCACGTGCAGAGGGTTCCTGGCCAGGTTTTCTCTCAGGAAGCAAAGCTGTGGTTCTGCTCGCTTTCCACAACCTTTCCTGGTGCCAACACTTTTTAGAAAGTGGGCGAGGCCTGGTGGAGCTTCTGCCCAGCAAGGCTTCTAATTAGCCGCTGGAGATTTGATTGGCTGCGCAGATTTTTAAAGACATCGCTCTGGCAGCAGCCGCCACCACGGCACAAGGATATTCATTGTGTGACTGAAGGGAAGCGGCGGCCGCCATTTTGTGCCTGGCTTTGCCCCCTGCGGCCATTTTGTGGCTGCATTCAGCAAACTGCGTCAGAGTTCCAAAGGGGCCTGCACACTCAAAAAAAAAAGGTTGGGGGACCCTTGTCATATATGAATACGGGTATCATCCGACACCCCGAAAAGACTGAACTTAAAAAACTGACAGGCTGCCAAATGCCACATATTATTTGTCGTTTGGTCCCCATTCAGCTTGCAGGGAGAGCTGTCTGCCGTGGATGTTCTAGTGGTGAATTTCCTGCATCGAGCAAGGACATTGGACTAGATGACCTCTAAGGGCACTTCCAAGGGGTGGGGCTAGATGACCACCAAGATCCCTCCCAAGTCTAGGATTCTATGACTCTATCCCATCAATCAGGAAGAAGCGTGTCCACCACCCTTAAAAAAAGACACCTGTGAACAGGTGATTTTGCATGCACGATTTCCCTACTGTCCAACAGGCCCATGGCCGGGATTTTGTGGCTTGTGGGGCAATTTTTTTTCCGGTGGGGCTGAAGTTCTCAGTGCAGAAGAATAGCAGAAGAGATTGGATGTATACCCCGCCAGAATGCTGAGGGTTATGACTCAGCTACTCCTCTCTCTCCGAGTCTACTCAAGCAGTCTGTTCTACACAGGTGTTCTTATGGCCAGTTTGGTGTCGTGGTGAAGTGTGCGGACTCTAATCTGGGAGAACCGGGTTTGATTCCCCCACTCCTCCACTTGCACCTGGCTGGAGGACCTTGGGCAAGCCGTAGTTCTGTGAATGAGCTGTTCTTGAAAAAGAGCAGTTTCTGTCCAGAGCTCCCTCAGCCCCACCTACCTCACAGGCAGTGTTCCCTCTAAGCTGAGTTAGTGTGAGCTGGCTCAGAGTTTTTTAGCCTCCAGCTCGCTAATTTTTGTCTTAGCTCAGGAAAGATGGCTCCAGAGCAAACTAATTTATGCAGTAGCCAAATAGTTTGCTCACAACTTTAATGCCAGCTCACACTGTAGAATTTTTGCTCCGAAGGCTCCACAGCTTAGAAGGAACATTGCTCACAGGGTGTCTGTTGTAGGGAGGGGAAGGGAAAGGAGTTTGTAAGCCGCTCTGAGACACTTTTGGGTAGTGAAGGGCGGGGTATGAATCCAATCTCTTCTCCTTCTTTTACCTCACAGGGTGTCTGTTGTGGGGAGGGGAAGGGAAAGATGTTTGTAAGCTGCTCTGAGACTCCTTTGGGGAGTGAAGGGTGGGGTATAAATTCAATCTCCTCTTCTTCTTCTTTTACCTCACAGGGTGCCTGTTGTGGGGAGGGGAAGGGAAAGGTGTTTGTAAGCCGCTCTGCGACACCTTTGGGTAGTGAAGGGCGGGATATAAATCCAATCCCTTCTCTACTTATGCTAGCAGCCACCTTTAGCCTATTAACCGTTTAGCCAAAAGAAAGCTGTTACCAGGAGAGATCTCTAAACCACAAGCCATCAATCACTTTAGATGACAGTTCTCAGCTCCTGAAAGTTAATCACTTCCCTCAGCCTAAGCAACAATTCTGAGAACCAGCTGGCCGGTGGGGGTGATGACTTCTATAGTCAAGAAAGGGAACACTTAGGCAGGAAAACTCTTAAAGGAGACCAGTTTCTTGAGACAGTTAGAAGGGATCCTAGAGGTCACCTACTCCAACCCCCTTGCTCAGTTCAGGAATTAAACCACAGCACCCCACTCTGCTTAAAGGAGCTCACGCCTTTCTTGTGGGGCTGTGGCTTTACAAGAGGGAGCAGAGCACCCCAAAGCCCATCTGTAGCTACAGGCCTGCTGTCCAAGACCCTTCTTTGGGAGAGAGGGAAGGCTGAGGAATGTTGGGGGACTTGCACATCCATTTGTAAAGCAGCCACCCAGTTCATACGAGACATCTGAATGGCGACTGAAGCCCACCCTCCACACCAAAGCCTTTTCCTTTCCGGGTCATGGATTTCTCCTCAGCTCTCTCCAGTTCTAATTAAATCACGCACATGACCACCGTCTTCATCAATCACTGTAATCAAAGATTGGAATATACAAAATATATATAAATTAACAATTCTTTTTTTACAGAAGGCACATTGGATTTTTATTTTTTTCTGCAAGCGCACGTGTGTATTCCAGTCCGGGTATTCGTACGTTGCCCCCGGCCCCCGTCACAACGTGTAGGGGGCTATCGCGACCGACCCTTGACTGTCGTGACAGCTGAGGATCTCTTTCTTGGTCAGCCCCGTCTGTCTGTGGTACTGGCCTTCGCGGATGGTCTTAAGGCACTTGACGTCCTTCCCCAAAGTAATGCTCTTGATGGAAGGCAGGTATCTCAACATGGCTTTCGACAACGAAGCGGCCACGCCCGTACCGGACAGGTTGAGCTCTTGCAAAGAGTTTAGGCTGTGAAAAACTTCAGCCTCCAAGGATTTGAGGCTGGGGTTGTTGGACAGATCGAGGACTTGGAGAGCGGGGAGGTCTTTGAAGCCGTAGGGAGAGATCGCCGATAGATCGTGAAGACCGCTGAGCGACAAATGGATTAAATCTTTCAGCCCGGAGAAGGCGTGCTTCTCAATCATTGACACTGGGTTTCCATCAAGGTTTAAGTACCGGAGAGGTATCCCTTGAAGGTTCGGGATGTTTCTCAACCGGTTTCCAGACAGACTCAAGCTCTGAATATTCGGGACAGCTTTGTCCCGGTGCCTTAAAACCGCGCTTACTAAGTTGTTCGAGAGATCCACGTTGATCGGTTTCCCTTGACCCTGCGACGCAAAGACGTTCATCGATATCTCCAGGAGAAGGTTGTTACTCAAGTCGACGTCCCCCAGGGGAGACTTGGAGAAGCATTCATCCGGAAGGGTGACCAGAGAGTTGTGACTCAGGTCCAAAGATTCGAGATACCGGAGTCGAGAGAACGTGGCGGACGTGACCCCGGAGATTCGGTTGTTGCTCAAGTCGAGGCTGACCAGTGTGGTGTAGCCGGGGCCCGTCAGCACGGACTCGTTGATGGATTCCAGTTTGTTCGACGATAAATCCAAGGAGGTGGTGTCCAAAGGGAGGGGGACAGGGACGATATGGGGCCCGATGCCGCTGCAGTCCACCTTGGTTAGGCTGAAGCTGTCGAAGAGACCGAAACTCTCCACTTCGCAGTGGCATCCTGGGAAGCAGGTCTTCGACGTACTGATGCCGGGGAACAGCAGGAGGAGGTTGAACCAAACGGGGAAAGGCATCGTGGAAATCTGCAATGCACACAAAGAGAGATGGAAAGGAGAGGTCAAAAACCACCGAAACAGGGAGAACTGCCTGAAAACACGGTCTGTCAAGGTTGTCTTGGCAGCGGAGACCTCTGCTCAGTGAAAGTCGGATGGATGGTATCAGTGGAGCTTGAACCAGGGGTCATACGAGAAGAAGAAAAGAAGAAGAAATTGGATTTCTACCCTGCCCTTCACTACCCAAGGGAGTCTCAGAGCGGCTTACAAACTCCTTTCCCTTCCCCTCCCCACAACAGACACCCTGTGAGGTAAAAGAAGAAGAAGAGATTGGATTTATACCCCGCCCTTCACTACCCGAATAAGTCTCAGAGCGGCTTACAAACTCCTTTCCCTCCCCCTCCGCACAACAGACACCCTGTGAGGTAAAAGAAGAAGAAGAG